GCCTGGCACCTCTCCAGCTACCAGAACAACTTCCATGTTATGGTCCGCATCAGGCCTTGAACCTGTGACCCTCCATTTCCCAATCCAAGTCCCTACGGACTGAGCTACTGCTGTCTCGTTCTTTAAAGCTGCCACAGGCCTCATACTGACCTCATTAATCTCTTGCATGGGTAAGATTGCTCTTTGTGAAATTAACCTTTGCCTTTAGTGCAGACCAAAGATTGTATAAGATTAGCAGTAATGTTGCCCATGTTGAAGTAACTTATACCTGCATTCCTTCTATTAGCCTGCAGGATGTGCCTCCACTTGTTACAAATAAAAATTTGATTGTCAGTCAAAAAGCAGATGCATAGAGCGGGTGTTGAACTTTCTTCTTTTTTTTTTAAACTGTTGAAAATAATTCGTCCCTCTGGTGCTCTTTAAGTGTGTCTTCTGTCAAATGTGATTGTTTAAAAGTCTATACAAAATATGTACGTCTTATTTTAACAGGTTAACCGTGTTTATGTCTCCATTGCTTTTCAGGCCTTTTTCAACTCAGCATGGGCTAAATCACCAATAAAGTTACCTTACCTTATGATCTTTTTAAAAAAAAATCATGGTCCCATTTTGAGTGGAATAGATAAAGCATGATATGATTAAGGGAATGACTACCTGTAACTGACAAATCATTACCATGGCGACCCAAAAAGAGCCTTATTCAGGGTATTATCGAGGTGAAAAACCTCTGAGGAACTGACAGTTGATGTTTGTACCTTGCATGGTAAAACAACTTTCGAGATAGTTTCTGTTAATTACTGACGCACCTCTCTAACTTTTCGGTACGTTAGCGCCTTCTATCGCCACCCTCTCATCAAAACGACGTGTCCAGAAAAAGGAAGATAATAAGGCGATGGCCAAAGTGGTGGACCACATTCCAATGGGTATATCCTGAACGTTATAAACACCTCTTAAGTACAGTCTGTGGTGCTGATACAGACCAGAGGCCAAAGTATTATCATTACGTTTGAATTAGGAGGCGTGTCTCTAATAGAAGCTTAAAAACGCTCTGCTGCCGGCTGAGGGCAGCTGCTGGGATGGACTGTGTGGCTGTGTGGATTACACTAGACCCTCTGGTGGGTGGTGTGTCTACAGTATGAACCCTGTGGTACGTTGTTGTTGGCATAAAGGAAGCCCAGGAAACTGCTGCACCATCATTAACACCCACCTTCAAGGTATCCCACCCTGACACATTTCACTTCTCTGGATGCCTAGATGATGAATTTTTCACTTAACGTCTGCTAGGGAAAGTCTGGTGGACAGACGCCCTCACCTCACCTCCTATCAGCAGCAGCTTAACCTCGCTCTGGCAGCACACTGACTGTGTATAACAACAATTGAATGGCACTGAGTATACAGCGAGCCATAGCCTCGATCTATTTTGGTATCGCTCCATTGTATCTGTATGCGACGCAGCAGCACAGTCTATCATCCAGATGCAGCGGCTCTATTGTTCCTGTTTGTTGACTGATTTATTTCCCTGTCACCATAGTGAACAGATGGGGCTCAGGCGCTTGCCAAGACGTTAAGGCTTATCTTTTATCTATTTTGGAAAGATCTATCAAATTCCATTTGTGATATTACTTAAGACTCTATATCTCTTCATCTCATCTGAACTATCTTATATTTTGATCGACATGAAGCAGATGGCAGAGAGTTCAACACTTCATCAGGATGATTAATGGATGTATGTGCAAGAATATTCCACCTTATTGTGACTGATCCTTGTTTAGATTTGTTTATGCCCTGCAGTCAAAAATCTGTGGGTGTTTTTGGACGTCTTTGTCTGCGCCTTTGCAACAAAATGTTGATGTGAGGTCCTGACACAACCACTCCTCCTCCATCATTTCCAAAGGCATCCATTGTCTCTGATACAAAGGCCTTCTTTGGTGTGCTCCTCGGTCACTCGCCTCAACCTCAGGAAAGCCCCCTCTGCAAAGACCATGAGACATTATTGAGCGTGTGCCAGCTCCCATAGACAAAGCTAGGAATAAAGCACTTCATAATGGGATTGTTACTGACTATCAGACCCTCAGGCTGTATTTTGCACATGAGCTTTCATAAAGCTCAGGAGATTGACAGAAGGTTGACCAAGCAGAAGTTTCCATGCAGCTTTGAAAAGGATTGTGATGCATGTGCAGTGTCTGCTCTGCTCTTACATCCTGTTCAGCCAACTCTCTGTCCTTACTGACTGTTTCAGGAAATAGCCCAATGGGTCTTAATTAAAGTCACGCTGAAGTTTTCTACATTATGTTCAGAACAAAACTTGAGTTGTCACTTGTCCCATTTCCTTTAACACACACTTCATTGTGAGCACTAATGTGTTTGCAATATGTCATGGAGGAGTTCAAAATGTAAATCCCTCAGCACATCCTGCTTATCTTTACAAGATCCACATGAGGAATGTGTCACTCGGCAGAATGCTAATGACTGGTTTTCTGAAAGCTGTTACATTTTTAAAATCTTTGTTAATACAGAGTCGCAGGAAATCAGATGCAGCATCAATAATTTTTTTTAATTTCTTGTCATGTGTTCAAACTTTCAGAACAATTCTGGCAGACGAGGTTCAGAGTCAGTATCTTGGAACCACAGGTATGTCTGGGCTGTCAAGTCCCAGAATCAGGACCAAGAGGAGCTGAATCGAGTCCTAAACTTGTAATTTGGAGTCCCAAACAAGTCTGTATGCCTCCCTACCAAATATGATGCCATTTTAAATTGACTGAATATAGTGAGAAATATAAACATTACAGAAATGAATCAACATTTCATTTTTTGACTACCTGTATTATTTGTGATATTGACGAGTTTGTCTACATCAAAGAATGGTGTCTAATTATTCAGTGTATAGGTGTGTAATGGTACATTTACAAACTAATGAATTTAACTATAAAAAGGTTAAAAGATAATCCAAAAGTTTGACTTTCTTTTTGCAAAGACACCGATGACAACTTACCCTCCTGCAGCTCAAAAGACTTGAAGTGGACATGATATGTTTTGGTCAAACTTCAGAGCTTCAGAGTTTTTCAGCCAATCCAAGGATCTTCATCAACAGAAGAATCATTTCTAGTTCAATTAATTAAGACAAGGCAAGGGATGTCAATCAGTAAGTTTTTATGAAGTCAGAAAAGTCGATTTAGGGCGCTAGGCAAAGCTGTCCTGTACCGTGCTTAAGCATGAATGTCCCCCCTCCCCATTCCCCCGCTGGCCTGCATTCACACTGCTCCAGGATAAACAGGGCCTGAGCATGGTTACCTTTTGTACATAATGCCATAATACAACACATGCATGGCTTTAGGTAATTATGAAGCGTGCTTAGTTTACAAGATAAGAAAACTAAAAACATTATAATAAAAAATAAAGGTGACGTTTGTGCTTGTGCATGAACTGTACTGTGCCTAAGCACACCCCTTCCAAGCATGCCAGGGCCAAGGACGTGTTACTAAACTAGTAGGGGTGAAGCATGTTTAGGCACCCCCTGCTTGTGATAGTCCGACTAAAAACTGTACATTTAAAATGCATGTTAACATGATAGCCGGTCTAAAATAGTACTTCGAGTTTCTCAAAGTTTAAATAACACATCTGGAGAATACGGTTGGAGATTGATTAACTCTTGCAATTATACACCCAAACTGGACTAGACATTCTGAGCATGCGCCACAGTTCCCTCACCGAGCGTTGACCCGGTCAAAGTCAAACAGCATAATAACGTGGCACAGCAGAAGTCACATTTTTGTCTGCTTTCAGATACCGCCAAAAGCTAGAGGGATGGCATGCATTGCATTTGAACCATGTTTTTTTATCATTCAACATACAATCACCACTTTGCGGTTTGCTACCTTGTTAGCAAGGTCAACCACAAGAAGGTCAGAAGTAACTAGTTAAAAGTCAGACATTTGTTTGCCCATTAAACGATTCTCCCTCGGTGCTTGTATACCAGGAGAAAGACAGTATTCCATTTCAATGTCCTAATCAGAGCTACAACCGTAGCTCGACTTAACGGTGCATGTAGACGGACGTACAGACTAATCCAATGTATCCTTGCTGCTTTGGTTGTCTGGACATGAGCCTTTTCCTATGTTAAACCAATGACCTCTTGAACATTAATGATATGGCTCAACAGTGCAGTTCCTGGCTTCACAGTGGCATATAATGTAGGGACAAAGGCTTTACATCCAGGCCCCATGAGGACATGATGGTACATGATGCTGGTGATAAAGAAGAGGCCCTGCTGATGTGAACAGGATCAAGTTGAGCGCTGATTTAGCAACAGGACAGCCTTTGTGTTCACCATGAGGCCCTGAGACTGAAGCAGCATAGGTCATGTGAATTGTCAGTGTTCATCACCACAGCTAGCGTGGACATCATTGTTCCATTACAACAACATGTCAACATTTCGTGACAGAGTTCATGATTGAACACACCATTAGTGTGGCCCTCGTAAGACTTACGGCCTTGCCTTGCACTCATTAATGAACATCATTATCTGGGTGTCAAATGGAACGAAGTGAACACAGTGCTTCTTTAAATAGAAGTGGGGAGTTACTTCCCCTAAATGAGGACCACATTCGAGGACCTACCACACCCACCATTCTGCTCTTTCAATGTCTCCCTCCAGAATTGCACGACTTGGATCTGAAGTCCAAGATTTTCAAATCCACAGCCAAGAAATCAGGCAGCCATGCCCTTGTTACCATGACCCCGGCTGCTCCTTTTTGTGTACTTTGAGATTGAAATTAAGCAGAGCATGGTGACCTTTGCACCAGAACTAAACACAGCTCATGAGAGCTTTGTTATCCAGAAATCAGAAGTTGTTTCTGTTCATTATCCCGTCAACATGAGAAGTGCAAGGCGAGTACGGCTATCCCCTGGCATCTATTGGGACATAGGGGGCTGAGTTATAAAACTCACAACACACTTTTACACTGGAAATTTTATTTCATAACACGGACACAGCTGCTTTCAAGTGTTGTTACATTTCATGAGTTTTATTTGAACTTCACAAATAACTTTTATTGAAATCAGAAAACAGTTATGAATAAACAAAACACTCCTGATTATTTGTGAACAAGCTTAATAATATAACTGTAAATCCTGAATGGTGTGCAAGACCAAAACATCGTATAAATTGCTCTAAGAGTTACCTCATGTGTCTTAAAGCTTACGTCTTTGAGTCGATTCCATTTTTACTTGGTCTTGTCTTGATCACAGACAAACAGAACTCTTGCTGCTATGTCAGGATCACAAATGTTAAACATCACTAAATCGCATGACCAATATGTCTGATTTATAAAATTATTTCTGTGAATTGATGCATCTGTTCCACTTTAAGTGGAACCAGTAACTTTTGTTAAACAATAATGAGATAGGACAAAAAGCTATGTAGCTAATGTACATTTAGCCAATTAAAGACAGTGAAGCTGGTATCAGCTAGACTTTGTTTTAATTTGTTTGCTCATAGAGAACAAAGGAAAATCCCAACACCAAGAAATTTGTCAAGGTAAACTAATGTACACAAACATACTGTAAAGACAACTATATACGGCAGTAAAAGAGGTGAAGGTGGAGGAAGCTAAAGCAGCTAATGCTACTAAGCTAAATGTATTAATGGGATTCTGGATCTTTAAGAATAATCATACTCATGTTTTCTATTTTACTGTTGGTGTTACAGACTTTCTTGGACTGACACTAGTCTTGGTCTTACTCATGACCTGGTCTTGGGCAAGGTAGCCCTTTCCAAAAAGTGTCTTACACATTACTCTCAGTAATTATCAAAATAATGAGATCCATGATTTATAATGTTCCTTACTGAAAAAAGCATGGCTAATGATACAGGGTAGTTTTTTGTATTAGCATGACTTATCCCGTTTTTCATTTCTATTTCCAAAGGTTAAAGTGTTCAAATACTCAAGAATTACAACACATTTAGTGGTTATGCAAATGCTATTAACAAAACAAAAGCTGAATACTTTATACAACAACAAAGAAACTTTACAAGAAGCATGAAAATGAGGAAAAAGGGTATATGGTATGGTCAATGAATTCAGGTAAATATAAAATATTGAGCATAGAAAGGTGTGTACTATTGTTTTTTGGAGTTTATTTTACATCCCTCTACAAATCCCTCCGAGTTTATCAGTGGTACAGAAACAGGCAAGCATCATGAGGCCGGAATAATAATGAATGCAGATTCATGATCAAAGTGCTTGGTGATAGGATGGAGTATAGATGAGCAAGTGAAACAAAAGCGGATACTTGAGTTTACAAATATTTCTCAAAAAGAGAATTACTCTGCAAGCAGAAATAATCTTAAACCCCGTTTCCACCAAGTAGTCTAGTTCAGTTTGGTACACATTTATTGGCGTTTCCACTGTCGGTGCATAGCACCGCCCCATGGACGACCTCGGATATGCAGACTTTCCTAGGAATCATTGATCAATTATTTACTGTGTCACATTCTTCTTCTTTGCCGAATTTAGTTTACACTATGTTGCGCCGCTGTGATTTAGTGATGTGTAAGGATCCGGTTGGCTGTTGAAACGCAAACAAGATTGGGGTTTACGGTACCAAACCGTACTGAACCAAACCTGACCACTTGGTGGAAACAGGGCTTTATTGGCTGAGTTAAATGTTGGGAGCGGAGCCAAATATTACAAGCTGTGTCGATTTAAAAGGCAAAAGATTAAAAAGGAGGGAATCCAAAATGTGAAAACCTAATGATTCTCGCAAATGCTAGCTGTGCTACATTAACCAGAAGTCTAGCTAGTGAGGTCATCGTTACTTAGGACTTAAGAGTACAAACCAAATAGAGCAATAGAACTTAAAATAGAGCACAGATTCCAGTATAGCACTGAAGTTGTACTTTGCATTCACTCACTTTTATTAGTGTTTTGATGTCTAACACCCTTTTCTGGATTGGGGGTTAGTTGTTTTTTTGACTCGATGATCTTTCTGGTTTAAAAAACTACTAATATGATATTAAGAGAAAAATCCAAAACGCAAGCTTCAGAGTGCCCTGACAGAAATCAACAACGGATGTTAAATATATCTTTTCCATTTGACACTAACTTTTAATAGCTATCAATATGTTGGCTAGTTGGCCAACAATATTAATGAACAAAGAAATCTCTCTGCATCCCTAAGTTCTGCTTCTTCTTTCATGAAGTTTGACTCAACCTGTGAGATTGTTTTTACCGTCTGCTGTCCTTTCTAGACAAATTGTACAGTCACATCCCATAACACATTTAAATGTATGTATGAGCAGTACTCGGTGAGGTCAGTTGTTTAAATAGCACGCATTGGTTGTGGAAGGCTGGTGTAGGTTCATCCTTTGTCCTGTTGAGTCCAATATGGCTGCTTCTAGGCTGTCAAGTCTGAGTATGTTCTTTTACTTTAGGTGCCATACCGGCAGACCTACTCGGAGCATATCTGTAGTGTATCTGTACCTCACTGTTCAAGAAAGTTCACTTGATAAGTGAGCTGATGGCCATTGTCCCAGGCGTACAGAACCTTCTCCTTGGGATTGTAGTCAATCTGGGTGGTGAAGGAGTAGTCATTGGTGAAGGGCAGGCGTGGGATGGCTTCAGTGTTGGTATGGGTGTCATAAGCATAGTTCACCTCACCTTCCTTTTGGTTATACACATCAACAGCGTACAAGACACCACAGATGATGAAGCAGTTCCCGTAGGAGTTCCGCTTGAGACCTGTCCTCCAGGTTGTGTCCTTTTTCAATGACAGGTCTCCAGGATCCAGTTTACTGATGACAATCACTTCCTGTTGGTTGTAATCGTAGTCCATAGAAGGGTAGATAACCCACAGGCCGCTTTCATCCACTGCAAAGTCAATGTCTGAGTGGCCCCTCCATTTCCAGGGGGTGGTGTCCTCGTAAACCACGTCATGCAGCAGAGTCCAGGCAGCCACATATCGCATCCTCAGGTCATACTTGATGATGTTTTTGGTGAAGGCTCTGTTGTAGTAGAAGGCTCCGTTATAAACCACATGTCCTGTGCCAATCCAGTTGTAGGGCAGTTTGAAGAGGTTGCTCCATCGTCCTACAAGAAACAAGAATATGTTAGCTATATCTGTTTGTGTTTTAAAGAGGGGCTAATACTCTATTCTAATTGGCTAATAAGCACAGTGTAGCTCCAACAAAGGCAAGAATGTGATTAGATATATCCAAAAAGTCTTGTCATTCCATGTCAGCTAAAGGAAAAAGTCCCATACGGACACATTTTAGGACTGAAATATATGCCAAGAATGCATAGGGCATCGAACAAAATCCAGGTATTCCTGTACAAACAGCTAGGCAAACAACATATTTGGATTTATTTGATTAATTTGGACTTCCCAGAAAGATGCAGTTCTGATACACTTGCTGTGTACAAAATCACATACTTTCATATAAATTATAGTCAGTATGATGTCATATTGAGTATGTAGTGTGCTACAGTTTTTGGTATGCAGTTTTATGTAAAGCTGCCAAGTGATGTGCTCATGGTAGATTCATGTTGGGTCTCTGTAAATAATATAACAAAGACTACGGTCTAGACCTGCTCCTTTTGTAAAGTGTCCTGTGATAACATTTGTTATAGATTGATTTAATTGATTGATTCATGTAGCTAGCTGGTTATTATAGCAGCATAAAGGAAACCCCTTTAATGCTCAAGATCCATCTACTGTGATGTTGTGCTTATCTATATAGTATCTTTTAGTTATGATGAGTGGGATACATCCAACAGTGTGGGTGCTTTGCTGATATTATGCCCTTCAAAGAGCCAATGTCAATGTTTTTACAAAGCCAGACTGTGAACACACTGCCTTCATGTGAGAATGACACAGTTTTTTTTAGCAGTTCATTCCTGAGCAAACACGTTGTGTACTGTAGGTGTCACTTTCTAATCACATCCTATCTGCTGTCCTAACCTCCAACCTCAGGAAGTGCGATTTAGATAATGATAATAAATGGAAAGCCCAGTGAAGGACAAAAACAACGGGCTGTAGAGCACCCCCTCTCCATCCACATCCCCAAAGTCCAGCCCACACTCCTAATCCCTCTCTGCTGTGCCCAGTTCAAAGGAAAGACCAGAGCACATGTCAGGGCGCAGCGGGCATCACTGCAACTCCAAATACCTAGTCATCCGCACACAGCTGTGAGCTCACCACACTGCAGGATGCCTCACATGTAAGTGCATTTAGAAAGCCCATTGTCCAAACACATCTAGATCAACAAGCCGAGTCCTGTGAGGGGAGATCATCTTAACTCTCTTAGAGAGTGTAATCCAATTCCTCAGTTGATTTGGATGAGGAAGGAGTTGATTTTCCCACCCAATGGAGCCGTGAAACAACCCAAACCTACATTCCTCAGATCTCATCAGTCTCACAGAGCTCATAGGATAATCAACATGAATCAATGTCAATGATGTTATGAGAGAAAACACACAGCTCCATCACTGGATCAAGGTGATGAAGTTAGAGAAATATGTTTGAAAGATTGTAGAGTACTAAGTTGAAAGATATCAGGTGAAAGTAAGGGTATATATTAATGTGTTGACACTGAAATGAAACCTCCTTTGAAGCTGTGTTTAATGTGTCTTCATGCTATATAAAAGACATTTAAACTCTGGATCAGAAAGGCCACTTCATCCCCTTGGCATGATTGAAAACGTTGAATAATGCAGTTTCACATTTGAAATAAACAGAAGATACTTGCGCCCTAAAAAAGGACAAGGTCTCAGTGAAGACACCCCCCATCCCAGTTATGCCCCTATGCCCAACTGATGAATTACAGAACCTACTACATGGCACTTAGTTGCCATCGCAACCAAAACAACAGATCCATACTCTGTTTATGCTAGCTAACCGGGTAGTCACAATGCTGGTACTACCTACAGTACCACATGGCCCACACAAAGAAATTTCTTTATTTTATTTCTGGTGCCAATGTTACACATGAAAAAGAACGGCAAAGAGAACACGAGAAAATACAAAAACACAGATTAGAGGAATCTTAGAAAGATAGATGATAAAATGTATCTCCTGGATGCTCTGTGGCGGGGCTGGAGGCCGAGCCTTGGTAACTTCAAGCCATAAAAAAACACATTTGTTCAAGGGGAAATGCTGGAACTGGATTAATTTGCAGCCTTTATTTGTTTACTTGTTGAACTAATAATTTTGTAACTGCCATAAGTAAACTCCTCAAAAAAAGTTTGGAAACATTATTTTGGTCAATTATTTTGCCACTTTAATAATACTAATTGGTGTTGTATTTTATATCATTGGAAAGCCTGATTAGTCACCTTTACAACGAGGTATAACTTGTAAGGATCGTGCATTCGTGAATTGAGCAAAACAGCTAAACGTGTGGGTAGCGCCCTAAAAAAATGTGCCAAAATCCCCTGCAATGTTCTTCTGTTGGTGTTCACTCCTGTTTTGAGTTGCTTGGGGGAATTGATGATTGCACTCTCCCACAGTAACAAGTTTTTTACACATTATACATTTTACACTGTCAGGGACCTCAGTAGCGTGTGGATGATCCATACGAGGCCACAACATCTTGGCCCCTCCTCCTCATGCTGGTCACCAGCCTGGTCACATTTTGCTGTGGGATGGCATCCCATCCCTCAACCAGGAGTTGTTGAAGGTCAACCAGCGTGGTTGTGTTGGTCACTCTGGCATGAACAGCATGCCCAAGATGATCCCACAAGTGCTGTCAATTAAGTGTCAGCCATACACCCGTAACTGGCACACACCTGGCAGCAATTGGTATTCACTCCTGGCAACAGGAGTGAATACCAACAGATGAACATTGCAGGTTTTTTTTTTTTTTTTTAAATTTTAAAGATTTATTTTTGGGCTTTTTGTGCCTTTAATGGAGAGATAGGACAGTGGATAGAGATGGAAATCAGGGAGAGAGAGAGTGGGGAATGACATGCGGGAAAGGAGCCACAGGCTGGATTTGAACCTGGGCCGCCCGCTTTAAGGACCACAGCCTCCATACATGGGGCGCGCGCACTAACCACTGCACCATCAGCGCCCCATTGCAGGGGATTTTGGCACATTTTTTTAGGGCTCTACCCACACGTTTAGCTGTGTTACACATTCCACGAATGCACGATCCTTACAAGTTATACCTCATTGTAAAGGTGACTAATCAGGCTTTCCAACGATATAAAATACAACACCAATTAGTATTATTAAAGAGGCGAAATAAGTGACCGAAATAACGTTTCCAAACTTTTTTTGAGGAGTTTATCTGTGATGGGACTCCTTATAACCTCCTCCTTCACACTTAAATTGGTCTGGATAAAGTCGATGACTAAGGCAATGTCAAAAGACCAAGGTAAGGCCCACCTTGCTTGAAGTTGTCCAGGTTGCGGAATTCCACCAAGTTGTTGCCGTAGTAGTAGTTAGTGACGTAGATCTTGGAGTCTTTAGCCAGGGGGTCCTTCATCCAGGCTCCCTCATTGCGTCCATAACTGTGCTGCTTCTCTGGCTGCTCGATGGATGCCAGGGTCCCTTCACAGTTAAGGATCTTTCCTGGAAGAAACAAACAAACAAACAAAAAACTTGCCAAAAATGCCTTGGCTAGAAAGACTCGCATTCACATCAGCTTAAATCGATTTCACACTCCAACACTTCTTGGCAGGCTCTACACGTTGTTCTGCTGCGAAATGTGCCTCTGCGATGGCAGACATGGAACCAAATACTGAGCTTATCCACAGAGGGGTATTTATCACGTACCTGCTCGGTGCAGTGTGGGACGACTGTTGTTGTTGGAGTTGTCAAGCATTAGCAAAATAGTTGGAGCTGGTCTTTCGGGTGCTGATGCGCCTTGTGTGGTGATAGTTGTCGGTGCAGTTGTCGTGGTGGCAGTTGTGGTGCTCCTTGTGGTGGTGGTGGTGGTAGTGGTTGTGGTGGGGACTTCGGTGGCAACGGGTTCAGCTGCAGTGGCATCCATGGCCTCGAGGACCATTTCAGCTCCTCCATCCTCTGCCTGGTTGTCTGCAATGTGATGGACTGTGTATGTTTTTGCAGGCTGGTCTGGGAGGGAGCGGAGTGGAGTGGAGGAAACAGAGTAAGAGATGCAGAACAGATACAAAATTCTACAAAGCTAGTTTACATTCAAAACACAGCCGATGGTAGAGATTGGCTAGGCAATGTTTGGGATGAGTGGTAGTAGAGGGAAGCAGTTGATGTAAAGCTGTATTTTGTTCTTGTAAGTGATGGTTACATTTTGGTGGTATGATCCAGCTGTGTGAAGGGACAATTCAAAAGCAAAGCTGTCATGCAATCCCAGAACCAATTGATTATCATGAGACGTTAGCTTTATAGTAATTTCTCTTAAACTGACATCTGCATCCACGTTTTCGAGTTGTGCTCTTAACAATGAACCCCACATGGAAAATGGCATTTAAGCCAGAATAACCTCTGCACCAGAAGCCCACTAAAATTTGCTGTTGCTCCCAAAAGGCTACATCCAGGCTACATCATCAGACAAATGCGTTCTGAAGAGGTGCAACCCCTTATCAGACAAATGTTCCAACAACAATTGGGCAACAACCCAAAAAGACAGTTTTCTCTGTCACTGTATGTAATTGGTGTCAGTGCAGGCCAAGTAGCTACAAGGCCATCTGGTTTTTCTGTAATTTCATTGACAGTCCATGAATGCTAGTACTTCACTTTCTTCTGTGTATTATTTAGAAGTGTAGCACCATCAAGTCTTCTTTCATGTTTCCAATAACCTCAGATAAAAAACACAAGTGGTTCTGCCTTCAGACTGATAGACAGCTAACTTTATTCACAAATTAGTTTGAATCATGATCAAAGCCTTAAGCACTCAGTCAGTTAAAAACTTCATATGAAAATTCCTTTTTAATTTACAGCCTGAATTAGTCAGATGCTTGCGTCTTGTGCGCTCTGGTTTCACACTTCAAAAGTCTCTTGTGGTTGTTGTAAAAACAGACGGCAGGCTCACTCAAATACAACTTAAGAGGAGAAAGAGTCTTCTCCCCTTCTGGTCCTCATACTCCGACGTCCTGTGCTGCCAGACAGATGTGGGGATATTACATCAGTGGTTCAAAGCACTGCATCTTCCTGACACACATACTCTGAACATATGGGCCCGATGAGGGCCGGACAAACCAAAGAATAATGGTGCTTTTTAACAGCATGGAGATATAAGAAAGCTCTAAAGTTATGTTTAGAAGGGATTGAGAAGCTTTAAATTGTAACTAGATTAAAATGTATGATACATTTTAAATCAGTAAAAAACATTATATTTCTGATTTGGTGTACTATTGGCTCTATGTGCTGAGAACATTAAAGAGGCCATCAGCTAATCGTTAAAAGACATCTTTGTTTTGAAAAGCAGATGTAATGCATATTGTACTGATTTTGTTTCTTTGTTTGTTTCTATTATAATACAGATTAAGCACTCGTAAATTTTAAATGACACTGTTGTTTGGAAAAGCAGATGGACATCAAATTGTACCAATTTTGTTGCGTCACTACTATACAGATCAAAGTCCCCTTTAAATCATGATGATAATTAAATAAATATTTAAGTGGAAAATATCAGCTTTTTGAATGATTAAGTCATGTCAAGGCTCAATGATGGACACTGGATGTGTGAAGGGCACGAGCAAGACAAATAATGTGTCACCAGTGGACAGATGCTTTTCTTGCATAGGATAGCCTGATTTTAAAGGCACTCTGCACCCTGCATCCTGCATATCATATCATCTCTACTGGAATGTCACCATGTAAGTGTTCATCATCACATTTTACTCCACTTGACAGGCACCACACAGGGTGATTTAAAAAAGCACCTGACTACGTTCTTCTCCAATAGAAGTGCACATGACGGGCACTTTCTTACATTTCCATCACTGAAAGGTCACACTGGAGGGCACTTTACAACATCTTCTCCAGTGGGAGGGTACCTCAGGACATTAGTTCGCAACCAGGGATCTGAGCCCCCCTAGAGTTGGTGCCAAAGATCTCAGAGTGGGGTGCGAGGCTTTGTCTGCTCTGAGGTTGTCAAAATTAGATTTGCACTCGTAACTAGGATCATGATAACACAATTACAGTATGAATATACAAATGTCTTTTGAAAAGAACAACTTTATGTAGGCCTTTTCTGTTGGGATGTTGAGAGAATAAATGTTGTTTAAACCAAAAGAAGAGACATTTGTCATTGAAACAAATTAAAATGTATGTTAATTTTTGACAGCAATGTACCATTGTTTTGAGTGGGTCCGAGGGGGGCTCAGCTTTTCAGAGATAAAAAAAAATGAGGTTGAGAAACACTGCCTTAGGCCCTGTGTTTTTTCCGGGCAGAAACGCGCTGGCTGTACGCTCAGTATTACTTGCATGAAGCGTTTGTGCGCTGTCTCTATGACAACCGTCTGCTGACAATGGCGCTGTATGACCGACACAGCTCTTGTACTTTTTACTGTAAATTTAGATTTAGTTCCCGTTCAGATACAGAGCTAAAGGGATGTGGGTACAAGACACGATCCGTAGGCAGCTAAACTTTGGAGAATATCATACATTTAGAAAAGAGCGCCGGTGACATCAACAGCCCCTTTTTTGAAAAGTTGAAAGATTTTCAACTTGAGCACTCTGAGCGACTGCACAAAAAAGGTGGAGTGTTGGGAAAAAAGATACAGGGCGCTGAGCTTTTCTCCAGATGGCCTCTTTCTGCTGCGAACGCTCTCTCCTCTTTGAAAAAGGCACTCAAATAAAACACTAGATGGACACGGGGCCTCAGAAGGCACTTCACCATGTAACCTCTTATGGAAGACTTCCCTCAAGGGCACTGTATCAAGTTTTCTCCAATAGAAAAGCTTCTTAGAGGGCTTGAACCGTGGTTACGCTGGGCAGGTCCCAGTGAAAAGTGTGTCACTGGAACTAAATTTGAAGAAAGGCATGTCAGGAGTCGTATCATCGTTCACTGGATGAATAAAGGTTTCAGCATCCTCCTCTTTGCCAGAGATTATGGAAATGCAGCTGAATGGTTACAGTGATTTGACAAGGGCGGCTGGGCTCGCTGAAGGTCACGTACATGGCAGAACACACGGTCTGACAGCATTGTGCGTGTGCCCTGGGCAAACACAGCATACCTATTCACTCAACTAGACTTAAAGAGGATTGGAAGGAGTCAGGAAATGTTTTCTCTGCATTGGTGAGGGTCCCCACACATTGTTGTGAAGAGTGAAGCTGAGGCATGTCATGGACATGGCAGCGCTCCATTGAGACAGCATTCCATCAGCTCCATGTATTTTGTCATAAAAGACTTGGATTTCCTGCTTGCTAAATGAGCACCAGCTATCCAATCCGGCGCTGACTAGACCAGCTGTGTTTAAAACAACACTGGAATAAATCTTGTATTGAGGGGATCTTGTGTGCCCCACGGTGATTGATTCCCTTTCTATTGCTTTGCGCTCCAGTGTTAAGTCTGCAACACAATCACTGCCTTATCTCACACTTGTGTGAAACAACATTGTCCCATAAGCCCCCATAGGGAAACTAAACCCAGATAATAGGGATCTTAACTTTGGCTGAATGACTCTAACAGCTGGCTGATCCTGATCAGATTGCTGAGGAACTAATTTGAATCATTTTCAACCTCAACAGTGGATCAGGAACACATGATCGCACACAGATGGGAGTGCATCTTCAGCTAAAGTGCAAGCACAATGTTTTTTTAAGCCCAAACCGGGTGGCTTCCTATGAGCACTGTGGGCTGCCGGGAGATTTCCCTGGCCAAGCTGCAATCACTCACCTCCTCTGTGCTCATCTTCATCGGGCTTTGTTGCCTTGTAGTATGTGATGCCCCGCACCACGCCAGGCTGGTGGCCAACCACCTTGGCTTTGGCCGTCGGGTCAGGCTTAACCGGTTTCCCAGGTTTAACGACCTCTTTCTTGGGCTTTATGACCTTTTCTTTGGGCGGCTTGGATTGGGGTTTGGCTCCGGGGCTCTTTTTGTTGGGTGTTTTTACAGCCTCCTTGGTTTTCTCGTCATTAGTGTCCTGCCAACAAAGATAGTTTTTTACATTTTAGATTTTTATAGGTTGTATACCATCCCTGTTGATAATGATTCCCTATGTTCTATATGAACAAATATTAGCATAACTAATATTATCAGTAGGGCTGTCAGCGTCAATGTGTTTATCCTGATGAGATCAATCCCATTAATCACACTCTATTTTGTCCCTTTTGTTGCACTGTAGTAAAGCCTCCACAGTGTCCGCCTGCAGCAGCAGTGATGGAAAATAACAACAGGCACCTTTGAATGGCTCATTTCACTTAGACACCTCAAACGATGAGTCAAAGGTAATATGCACCATGTGACATAAAACATTTCATCTTATTACCATTCCCTTTAGCTATATTCATTTACTTTTCAATCTGGAGTCAGATCACCCGCCTTACTTTTCAATCTTTTTTTCCTGTATTTTTAACCCTGTGGTACCTCAAAAAGACTTTCAGTTGTTGCCAGATTTGAACCTTATCTTGTAATTATTCCTGTGTGAGTGTGTCCATACAGTTCATCATTATAACAATTCTTAGAATATTTAGTGGTAAAAAAACATTATCTTAATAATGCATTAATACAATACATGAAAATAATAAAGAAAAGATGCATTTTCTGTATTTCAATCAGATTGTTCTTTCACATGTGTACAAAACCACAGACCGTGTTTCTTCTAACCTGAGCTTTGCTCTCGGCTGAGTCTTTCTGGAGCAGCTGCAGGCTGAGGCTGGAGATCTCCTTCTTGATGCTCATCATGACGTTGGAGTAGTTCTCGTATCTTTTGAACTGGTTGGTGAGGCTCGTCATACTGTCCCGAACAAACTCATTATCTCGTGTGAGGTTTGTCTTGATTGTCTGCAAGATAACATCATTTTTTAAAGCAGTTAACACTATCCATCGTATGACCAAAAGGCAATCCTTTAACAACAATGATATGTGGAAGTACATGCATTGTAGTCGTGGTTGATTGAGTACCTCTTCTAGTGTGTTCATCTGAGACACCACCTTGTTGATGTAGGAGTGGACTTTCATTAGATCCATGCTGTAAAGGGTTCCCTCGAGGAGGTCCACCATAGATTGCAGCTGATCATTAAAGCCATAAAAGGAGAAGAACTTGTTATTCACTTTCCACTGAATACAAACCTGTCAGTTTTATGAGCCTCTGTTCAGCTGCAGTAATACGCTTAAGTGCCCTTTGAAAAATGTGCTGTGATTTCCAATATTGACGTCCGTACTCTATCAGCGAGTGCTCTTGCTCTCGCTCTTAACTCATTTATGCCTTCCCTCTTGAATAAAATTGTGTCCCTCAGAGATTTCTTGGGTTAATCCATATTTTTTAAGTGGAGTCAGATCAAACATCTGCCTTTTGTTTCACATGGTGCATAGCGTGCTTCGCATGTCTGTAAGAAATAAAAGTGTGCTTTAGGTCTGTGCAAAGACGTTCTAACGTGTCAGCATTAGACGTCAGATGACATGAAACTAAAGGTCACAGAGAGTTGAAGAACAATCTGTTAATGCTGTTAAAACTGCCGGGACTCTTTGTTAAACCGATCGCCTTTTCCAACACTCTCATGTTCTGTTGTGTTTTTAATGTTTCAGCATTATTGCATTATCAGGTATCCTTCTGTCTTTTATTCTTTTCATATTCTATATCTTTACAGTACAAAACTTGTAATGCATTTCCAGTTTTTAAACTTATTCATATATATGAATTATAGATGATTAAATTTAGCTTATTTTACTGCAGCACTGATATAAAGGTTTTTCAATTCCCCAGGATCTTTCAGATTTTCTCATTAATAGTTGTTTTTGTGTGGTTTGATAACATGTTATCGAAAGGATGCATGAATGATCTTTTTTGGCTTTTTATATGCTTTTATTTTGGAGATAGGAAAGTGGATATAGTTGGAAATCAGGGAGAGAGACAGAGAGAGAGAGAGAGGGGGGTGATACGGGGCAAAGGGGACATGGGTTGGATTTGAACCCGGGCTGCCCGCTTGGAGGACCATAGCCTCCGTACATGGGGCGCTCACACTTCTCGCTAGGCTACTAGTGCCCAAGGATGACTGATTTATCTTTTTTCTGGCTTTTTTCTGCCTTTATTCTGGAGATAGTGGATATAGTTGGAAGTCAGGGAGAGCAAGAGGGATGATACGACATGAGGCAAAGAAGCCTCTGGTTGGAGCCACAGTACATGGGGGAACACACACTAACCACTAGGCTACTGATGCCCCAAGATGCATGAATTATCAAGAACTCAAACTCATCAAGACTTTTTACATGAAAAAAAAAAATCTGAATTCATTGCTTATCAATGGATAACAATCAGGAATGCAAAAAGAAATGACAGTATCTCATGCATGACTTAGTGCAAGAACATAATGTACACTAATGCACAGCTGCGGTATTTTAATGATGTTTTTCTTTAATATGATCAAGTATTTTTCATCGGTATGTCTGCAGATTAAGCTTAAGGCGAAAAACTTGACCATGCTAATATACAGCGGCGCTGCTTGTCAACAGGCAAGTCAGGCACCTGCTTGGGGCACCAGACCAGTAGGGGGGCCCCTGAGAGCTGACAAACTTGAAACCGCAGCAGTAGCGCAAAATGTGCAAATTTTGCAATGACAGTAGGAAACCTCCCTAAGGGGGCCCCCATCTGACAGCTCTCACTATTATTGCCCTGCTTAGCATCTCATGCATTATTCCTGTGAAAAACAAAGTTCGTCAATGAAAGTCACTAAAGGAAAATGAAGAGGAATGATCTGTCAGGGAGTGAAAAAAGAAAGAGGAAGAGCGTCAGGACACAGCTGGCAACATAATGGTGGTTGGAGGGGCCCCCAATTAATCTTTGCCTAGGGCACCAACAGACTCTATAATCGCCTATGCTATTATATTCTGTTGGATTTAAAGTGTTGTAGCCCTGAAAAACTTTTTGAAAGCCATGATGATTGGCACTTAAGTTCTTATATGTAGGCGTTTCATATACTTTATTAATCTTGAGCTGGAAATCGGGGTTTTACAGAACCTGCACATGCACTAATTGAGAAACGTCAGGGCATGGGGGCTGCACACAGAGGGGTACCCCAAGCATGGGGATTCAGCTAATTCTGTTAATATTTAACTGATCCACAAAAAATCCATAGATTGCTTCAAAATGTCTGCCACTGTTCAACTGTAGTCTTTATGCACTCTGACCTTTCGATTGACACCTCATTTGACCAATCAGGACCTTCACTGTTCTAGGCTACTATAGCCAATGAGAGCCCGAGTAGAAACGGGACTTTCTCTCTCTCCTCCGTGGCTGCATTACACATGATACAAATGTGTCAGTTGAAAAAATGGAGAACAGGGTCAAAGGTCTCATCTCCTTGGAGAGTCAGGAGCAAATGAGGTCAGCTGACCCGGGTTTGCTGAAGTGAATTCAGCCAATAATTAACATTTAACTGATGAATGATCGTGAGCCCAGCTCTGCAGATGGACTCTGCGAACATGCATCTAATTATAATAAAATTTGAAAGATGCTATGATTATATACGTTTTCTACGTTGGCTTTAAGTCCCTTTTTGCTCACCTTCAGTAGCTCAGGGGCCTGTTTTTTCAGCTTCTCCATCTTCCACTCGTTCTCACAGGGGTTGAGAGAGGAGGGCGGGGCCGTGCAGGAGCACTTACAGTCAGATCCAGAACTGACCGTCTCCACCGTGTAGAAATCCTCCACACGTACACTGCCGCTCCGCAGCCGCAGGCAGGCGTCCTTACTTAGAGGACGCATGATGCACTTACAGCGGCAGTCCGAGCCCTCTGAGGTCATCCGGACAGGCTCTGTCTCCCCAAAGATCTGAAAGACAGGATGGGAATCTTTCAGTTTTCAAAGGTATTTTCAGTCCTTTTAGTCTCGTCATTATAATCCCTTTTTTATTTATTTTAACTGAATAAGAGGGAAATGTTTCTTGTCTCTACAATGTGAACAATACGTTTCAGGGCTGAGCAGGATCAGAACACCTGCATGTTCTGGATCTCACCGTATAATTATCCAAACCCAAGAGATTGTTTTTGAAGTTTTTATCCGTACATGCTGAGGTGTGCTGTTTCTCCTTTCACAATGCCGACCTCTTTCAGTCATCGTTTCCATTTGTCTCACCTCTTCCATGAATAATAAATCTTTTTATTGTAGGAAACCAAAGCAAAGGGAAGGAAAGTGATCCCAAAGAATAACCACATGCTTCCCCTCTTTTGAATGTTAGCCGGTGTGACTCAGAGGAAAGCCTCAGAGACAAACATAACTCACAAAGACTTCTACACCTCCAGCTGGCCTTTGGCTGCCATGTATGATGACAGAGCTTTGGCAGGGCCACGGTCATGGCTTACTTAATAAACAGGAAGCGATGCATGGCAGCCCGAGCTCACACTCCCCTCTCTTCCTATGAGAGATGTGTGTAAACTGGCAGAAGAGATGGCTCTAACACAAGAATTTACCTTCCAAGACTTTATGACATGTTTGTGTATGGATGGTGAGACGGCAGCGAGGTGTTAATTAGATTAATTAGATCAAGAGACTTAAAATCATTTTAAAATGGTTTGAAATGACTGTGTCCAAACAGCCTGTCAAAGCTAACAGCTGATTTATCTGAATAAAGGTATTTTCAATAAAATGAGACTCTAATCCAGAAGACTAGAGTTTGATTTCTGAGTGAAACCAAAAGTCATTATCTTTTTCCCTTTCGCTATATAAGTTATGTAACCTTCATAAATGAATAGGTACAAAGGGCCTGCACAATATTAGAAAAAGATAGGATGTGCGATAACATTGTTCAATAATATAATACCAATGTAAACAGAGGGAAGCTAAAAGCTAGTTTAGCTTCATTGATCTGCATCAAAAGGGTGAGAAAGAAAGACTGTTCTGTCTCTGTTCAAAAGGTGAAATACATGCTGAGTGATTAAATGTACAATGTAGAATTTAATTAGAATGTTTACATTCAAATATTTAAAATAATTTAGAATGGATGAAACATATGTTATATATTTTTCGGGCGGGAGCTGCTTCTGAAAGCTGCCGTACTGTTGCTGTATGTGCTGCTGTGATAAAAAACGTCATGTAAATTATGCTTGGAAACGTTAGCTCGTCAGTAAACATATTCTCTGTTTCGCCCGTTCATCTAGACAGCGGTCTACCCAGAGTTCGTTTTCATGTGTGTGGGGGCGGTAGAAGCAGAGAGAATCACTCCCATGATTCCTCGCAAGCCTCTACGTCATCTTTTGTTATTGTGTTGATTGAGAGCCCCCTGGTGGCCGAATCTATATGCTGTGCCTTTAAGCACTTGCTGTTTACATAAAATAATGGATCTGATTAATGGCGATCAATTCAGACTTTTTCAACATGTTTGTTTCTGATTGCTCATATTGCAAAAATACAACTTTATGTAATTGTTATATGTTGTGCAGCCCTTCTGTAAATAACCAATGTAAACTAGTTACATACTTATGAGTCATCCAAGTCATTAAAAGTACAACCTGTGGTCACATTGTGTGGGAGTGTGGTGGGGTGATTTGGTCATGTTGGTGATACATTACTTAAATCTTAACAATGCAAGAAATCTTTCAGCGGGGCAGCAGCAGGAGGAAGGTAATGGGGAGGCGGAAGTGGAGGTGGAGATGTTGTGTGGGGTGGATGGATGGGGGGGGGGCTCATTAGTGAAAGAATGCAGGCTGACTGATGGGGGAAGATGTGAAAGGGGTTTGTGCTTCCCCTTCCATTACTGCAGACACACTGGGAGGGGGTCTGATACGGGGCAGGACTCCTGTGTGCACAGCCGGGCCAATCCTGACCCATGTCAAGCGAAAAGGCAGCAGGTTGACAAATCCTACAGCCACATGAAAACAGAGTGGATTAGCAGATTAAGCTTCTTTAGCTAGAGACTATGCCTACGGCCATGCTGAGCTGCATTGTTCGACCCCAGTCAAACTCCGGCTGCTGCATAGCAACATCAGCTTAAGTTGCTTTTGAGTTGGAGAAGTCACAAATTCCATCAAGATTTACTCTTGGTGCTTCAGGTTGTTGTCTGGCCAAGAAAGGTCTGAATCGTAGCAGGCTTTTTCTGCAGGAGAAAGATTTGGCTTCAGCTTATCAAGGAAATCTGAATCACTCCACGTTTCCAAGCAGCTTCTTCCTCCTCCTGTCAAATCGAATGTGCTGGTATGTCCAACTGACCGTCCAGCGTCTCATGCCAAGCTGACCTACCAGCGTGAGAACAGGCAACACAATTAAGAGTGCTAATAATTAAGAGTTCGGACTGTTTAACGCATGCTTTGAGCTCCGAGTCTTTGCCGCTGACCTCTCAAGTGCAGTCAAGTTTCGGGGTCAAAAAGAACACGGCTCAAGCATGAACCCATGTCTGCACAAAGGGAGGAAAAGAGCTTGCGCGCCGCAGAGAGCTCTATTAGATCAACCGCTGCAGCCTTTAACAGCTAACACACCCTGACAGTGATGAAGTGAAACCCCAGTTGTGCTCCAGATTGCTAAAAACACAAGACGTGTTACACAATGGCCGCTGCGTTCATTAGCCTCAGAGTTCAAGTCAGTTTTTTCAGTAGCACCAGCCTGTTATATCTGCAGCCCCAGTTCAATATAAACAAGGATATCCTCTGCTTTTTAGTACTCTTGCCAGCTGGCCATCGCGGCGACAGCTGTGTGGTGAAAAGGGCAGACAGTGCAGGTATCCTGTGGCAAAGCTCAAACATTTCACTGCCTGTTCCAGCCTTCAAACACAAACATTAGTGCTGTGATTCCTGTTATGTCCTGCAGCTAATCCAACCCTCCACTCTTTGCTTTTTCAACCATTTTCCCACATCTAACACTCAAAAAACCCAGCTCTAATCAGTCTTAAGCCCATCAGGCTTGTGGCTCTGAGGATCGACTATCCCTTTAAAAGCCACATCATCTCCTGTCAAGGGCACTCAAGACCAAAAGCACGGTCCACATTCCAGTCCAAAGAGTCCGCCTGATTTTTTTAAATCTAATTAGCGGTGCTTATGATAAACAGTCTTACTTGGCCACTGTAAAGATTAACTTGGTACAAAGAGAGAAATTCTATCAAAGCCTTCGGTCTGACTGGAGATGAAACGGGAGGTCGGGGGCTCAGACTATAAACAAAAACACCGGCATTAGCACCGGGATGTTAATTAGCTCAACACAAAGTGTATCAAGCACTCGCTGCTTTTGGGGGTACACATCTACATTCCTGCTGGGTCTGTTTATGTGTCCTGATACTCTGCTTTCAGTCATGTCAGTGCAGAATCACTCATAGGACTAACACCCCCTTATCCTCTTGAACCATTTAAAAAAAGTCAAGGGAATTACTGTATTTTTAAACCTGGGCTATCAGCACTCCACATATCCAAGGGTCTGCACAGGTGGTTGGAATAAAAAAAGTTTTAGAATGACTGCAGTAGACTGCTTCAGCCGGAGATCTACAGTGGAAAGTGGTTTTTTTTATTCAAATCCACCTGTGTCAGTTTCAGATGTCAGTGTAATCTAATATTACATGAACTGCATAATAAAACAAACTCTAATGTTCATTTATTTTACATCAAAGTTCAAGCTCAATGCTCAGCTCAGCTGAGCGATGTGTGTGTCATTTACATGCATGATTCCAAACCTTTTTTTTATTACATAAACCCTATAATATGTGAAAAATAGGGACTATGTCTTAAGAAATTCAAAAAATGTCATCAATCAATGAACTGAAAACTCCTTTAATGTTTTCTCATTTAATGAAATAAATCTGTTATGAGGGTGAAACTCCTCGGAAAACAATAACACATTATTGTTTCCATAATCAAACCCAGTTCCTATTCTAATCCATTCGTCTGCACAATGATGCACCTTCTAATTAATCACAATTATAAGTGTGTGTCTTCATGGCGACCTCAACTACGAGTGGAATGGCGGCTGTTGCCAATGCCTTTCCTCCAGACGATTACTCTCTGCAGATGTTTATGGGAGATGTTTAAAAAGCTGCAGAGGTTATTAATGCTCGCACTGCTCAGTGAGAGACTCTGACCTCCTTTCATTAAGAAGACATTATTTGAATATTGAAACTTTCAGAAAAAGGTCCATTAGTTGTGCAACCAGACTTCAACAGAAATTACACTTGATAATGATATTAGTACAAATGCTAATCATAGGTGGCAGGTACTTTATTTGCAAAACGATATCTGCAGAGGGCATGAATCATGGTGCCTTCATACCTGCACAAAACTTGAGGTAAGCAGCATGTGTGAACACAAACGGTTCAGTCCGCACACCAGAAGCTGATGATTCAATTCCATATAAAGTGGAGCAGCTTCTGGTGTGTGGACTTAGTCTTCCTTCTCTCTTTGGTTATACTTTGTCTAGCATCCAGCACTCAATGATTCGGATGGGCATGCAGTTTGATGTTTTTGTATGAACACAAACAGCTGTCATTTTTTACTGCGATTTTACCTGGAGTGTTTCCTGCCAGCTCCTTGGTATATTTTCTGCGTGAAGTTGAGGTGAACTGATGTGAGAACACGGTAGGAGGAGTTGATGACCTTTCTATCCTGTGACAGGTGTTTTGTCGAGATGTGTGGCCTTGTCAAAAATGCTGCCTAATATTACCAGAGTGTTCTGTCTATATCTGACTAAAATGACTCAGAATAGGCCACTAAGTCAGTAAAGTAGCTGTCATGTTCTCTGATGTGCGGACGTTGATCCAACAGCTAGTCCTTTTTTTTTTTATTTCATTGGAGTCTGCCTGTCTTATAACTGAGCAGGCTTCATAATTACATAAAGCCATTCATGTGTTGTATTACGAC